TGTTGTCTCTCATTGCCTATTGCAGTCTTCCTCTTCTCTCAGTTGGGACTTAATGATTTTCTCAGTTAAAGACAAAAATGAGGATCTGTTCTACTGTGGGTGTTTAAACAGAGCGGGTGTGTGTATGTGGATAGAGGGCACCAGGACTTCTTTTCTGGGTTTCCAAGAGTTGCTACCTGGAAAGAGCTGAGAAAAAAGACAGCAGTTTAAATTTCACATCGGGTTTCTGAATATAACTTTCCGATATCTCTTTTCTAGTTTTCTGTTATCTTCTGTCAGCCTACTTTCTTGTTTTCTCATCTGGCAGCCTTTTCACATGCATGTGAATGCCAATTCAAATGCTCCAGAAGCTGTTGTTTTCAACTTTTATTAATGTTTCCCAACTCATTCTCTTGTTTTTCTACTGACAGGCTGCCAAAATCGCCCTCTGGGGAATTCTAAAAGGGTCTGGGTAGCAGAAATTGGACCCAACATTTGTTGCAGTTAATTACTTGATCAGATCTTTGTCACAGAAAATGTTTGACAACCCACACATCTCTATTTCTTAGCAACCCATAACATAGAACTATAGAATGTTTCTTTCCTTAAGAGTAAGAAGCACATCAGTAGATAGTAGATACTTCATTTAAGTGGGTAACATACTTGATTCTACACAATTTTTTGTTGAGTCTGGTGATTCAATTTAGGCTGGTATTTAGACCATGTCCAAGAGTCTACACCATTCCCTCCTGCTTTTAGGAATAAAATACTGTAGTGGTTATCAAATCTGAGTTTTTTCATCCCCAATGTCATTCAACATAGCATTACTGTTGAATAGCCTGTAATAGCCTGTCAAGGAATATTTCTGCCAAGTTCCAAACCTAGATCTTGAGTAAAACAAAGAAAAAAAATTCAAGAAACGAGCTAGAGTTTGTGCTCTGCTTACAATCTGTTTATGAGATAGGATTTCAGGAATTTAATAACTGCTGTGTGAATCCTCATAGATATAGACATGATCAATAAAGTTCATACTTTAAGTTTCCCAATTGTGAAGTGTGATTGAATTTCATTTATGATTTTTCCTAGCAGCTTGGGACAAAATATTAAAGATTTACAACAGACAGTCAATTTACAGTATTTAATTTAAATCATGCTGGAAAATTGTACAAAAGTTGAGGCCACTAAAACAAATCTTAAGTCAGTGTCAGAAAAAAAATTAAATCCTTTCTGAAAAAACCCCTGACATAAGAAGAAAATACAAACCAGAAAAAATAGGAGAAAAGGGAATTCAGTGGACACTGAGTGGTCTCCCTGACACTCCATCTGGGCTGCACAGACCTTAACACCTGACAGCAAAGGTGTAGGAGAAAAAGTAATAGTTGATTTTAAAAGTGTGGGGGAAATTAAATAATCGTCATTGCAAAGCCCATCATATAGGAACTAGATAAGAAAAGGAACACATTGGTGCCTCACAGAGGAGCATAGGGTTAAGGAAAGAAGAGCGGGTGTGAATATCTCATTCTAATATAAGACGCACCTTACCAAGTTCTTCTGGCATTCTTAAAGACAGGACTTTCTCTTGGCTGTGGGATTTTAGTTGTTCAGTTAAAATTGGAAGTAGGGAAAAAAACCCAACTAACCAACAACAGAAAAAACCCATAACAGAACAACAACAAAACCCAAACCAAAACAACAAATAAAAAAACCAAAAAACCCCCCCACAAACAAACAAAAAAACCCAAACAAAAAAACCCAAATGAGAAGGAAAGAGAAAGAGGGCAAAGAAAGGGAAGTAAGACCTGGGCAAAGAAAGGGAAGTAAGACCTAGGCAAAGTGAGATTCTACAGTGCTTATGGTAACACCATCTTTTTTTCTGTTGATTCTTGACAATGTTACAGCTGCGAGCTGTTCCACCTGTTTGGCAGGTCTTTGCTCCTCACCTTGCTCACATTCACTAACTGCTAATTCTCTGGAAGGAAGGTAGGTTGCAGCAACTTGAAATAATTAATCTAATTTGTTTGTAAATTTATTGACCACAACTGTTTGGGTAAGTGAACTTCAGCTACAGGTTGCAATAACATCGGTGATATGCAGATTGACATCTAATATATTTTTAAATCATAAGTTTTCTTGTACAAACACTATACTACTACTTACAAGCCTTTCTATCTCTGAAGTCTTTAACTAGGCTGCACATATGAACATTTACTGGAGTATTCTTTTAAACCTCATTTGCACTTGGCAAAATATGAAGCAGTTGAGGCTCAGTGCTGGAGTGCAGGTTAAAGTGTATACTATGTGATTACTTTCTGCAGCAATGCTAGGGGTCTTGCTGTGAAGGTGAAGAAGCTGTGGGTCATTAAGCAGCATCATTTACTCCAGAGGGGCCCACATTTCCTGAAGAACATCTTGCATGAGATATCCCTTCCTCTGTGTTATTCCATAGATAGGAAATGCAGCAGTGAAACCTAAACTCCAAAGTCACACATTCTTATAGGTTAATGTTAAATCATCAGCATGCCTGTCTTCAAACATTAACTGATGAATCCTCACAGCAGCCTTGTTTATGAAGCACTTATTATCTTTCTTTTATAGGCTGGGCAGACAGGAAGGCTTAACTCAGTCATTTAAGGCTCAGACACTGTTGGACCCCCCATATAGAAGGATTTCTGACCAAACACCAAACCCATAAGTTAATCTAAAAATAAGCCTTATAGAAGGAAAACAATAATACTTCATGGTAGGGTAAACACAGTCAAAATGAATAAATAATCACTTAACTGGAAGGCAGTGAAAAAATTATCTGTAAAAGGTTAAACAAAATAATGAAATACATTGTTTAGTTTATTAAGAAAACAAAGCCTTATATGTACATTAAATTACTGTAACCCTGGGTTTAGAAATTAATCCCTATATAAGTTTAGAAATTGTATATATAAGTTTAGAAATTGTATGGTTCCTTGAAAAGAAGGAAATCAAACATATTTGCAAGCCTGTTTGTCTTCTAATAATTGGTTGTGTTTGAGACACACACGTTGGTTCTAAACTTTAATATTGCATTTTAGGTCAAATTGCCTTCAATTACACTGAAAACTAGTATTGATTGATAAAATCTGGTTCTACACTGAATTCAAGGGGGAATATTTTATTCATAAAAAAGAACAGAAAAACGGAAGACTACAAAATTATTTGACTAATCTGCCTACCAATTATGGAAGATAAGTCAGATCAATCAAGTAGAAAACAACAAGAACACTCACAAGATGTCACCCACACAACCTCAGTCTTGAATCTTACAGCTACCCTATGGATACAACAGGATACCTTAATTTTTCCAGGCTTTTCCAGTGTTTTCTGTCTGCGTGTGCTGGTGAGAATGTTCAGTCTGCAAGCAGTTGACACTGCACCCTTCCCATATCAGGAAGGCTGAAGCCTTCATCTTGTTATTGGGAGACTCTGCTAGGTAAAAAAGAAGAAGAGCCACATATATGCATGTATGTGGACAATAAGACTGTCTTTTAGAAAACTTTTTACCAAGCCTTTGACAACACCTTGTTTTTAATCTTCATTATTTTCAGCCTTTTTTGTAAAAGGCAGAGTCAAAATTGGATACATTTGGGCTCAAGGTTACCAAAACATGTCACATACAAATTATAGTAATTTTTTTTTTTTAATCTCCCCAAAGCTCCTCAAAATTTGCAGCCTTCATTTCTGACGTTTAGGTTGAGTCGAAGTTATTTAGAAATTTATGTGCAAAAGATGGAAAGAGGAAAAAAACATCACTGGTCTTCAAACTCCATGTTTCAATCAGACCAATTCCTTTTTTTCCTCTTAGGCCAAAATGATGCAACAGGGGAGCACAGCCAACAGAAGGATACATCCAAGCACATTTCTTTGCAGGATCCTTGTGTTATCCCAGATTGTACAAGGTTCCTAATTTGTAGGACCATAATTTACGTCCCAGCCAAATAACTTTTTAACCTGTAAATCCTTAACTTATAAGAAGGCCTGAGCATTAATAACATAATTCCAGCTGGGCACAGGAAAAAAACTTAAACTGAAATAATGATGGTCATTTTTTTGACTAGAAGAAGTGATAAATTCTTCAGGAAAGTGCTCACTGTTACATTAGCTTCTCATTTCTTTTTAGCTCTATCTTTAAATATAGCCAGAAGGCTAAGGCTTGACTTAACAGTGTGAGCTTTTTAGACTGTAAAACAGTGGTTTTATCACCAATTACACCATCCACAAACACTTCAAATATTAATGATGGTAGTTCATGAAAAGCTGATGTAATGGCTGTCTTAAGGTAGGCCAAGAAACAGTATGAGTGGGAGAGAATTATCAGAGATATGGTACTACCAGAGATGTGAGGGAAGTTGGCGACTGAGCAAGGGTTGTCAAAGGCTGTGAATGTGAAGAACACTTTGTTATGGCAGAATTATAATTGCAGCGATTTTTCAAATGTGAATAGCAAAACAACCACCTGTTAAATCATATTGATTTAAATCACAAAAGCTATTGAATTTTCCATAAGCAGCTGCATGTTCTGCTGTCATGTGGTTTTTAAAAAAGAAAGTAAAATAAAACTGTAAGAGACAAAAACTCTGAGAGAAACAGTGGGGGAAGAAAGGTATGGAACTCCCATATCTCTTGGGTACATATGTCTTTGCAGGATAATTGCACTTTGGATTGGCTTGCTGCCTCTGAAACTTTGAAGGATTACTTTATTTGTCCCTTCTCCCCAATCTCTTCCACTCTATTATTTAAAACCTAATTATCTTATGAAATACTAATTGCCAAGCTCTGCAACTTAGTTTTCCAACCTATAAAGTCTCCATTATTGCCACTTGCCATTTTTGATGCTTGCTTTTATGAAAAGTTCTCCAGCCCACCAAAGTCTAGAGCTCAGATACATCATGAGATCCCACATTTTTGCCTGAAGTCCATTTTACATCCCTTTTTTTCTTCTCACAGGCTTTGACAGAACAAGGAACCTTATATCAGATGATGGTGGAGATTGGGAAAATAAGACGGATCTAAAATAGTGTGCGAAGACCTTGCTTGAATACAGCAGATGGAGCTGCCTGCCCTGATGGTAAATAGCAAGTGCTTGGAACCAAGCAAGTATGACAGATCCTGCATCTCTCTAATTTCCAAGATTTGTGGAACTACACAATGCATAGCCCATGAAACATGAAATGAAACTGTGAGATTTTAATATCCTTGAGTAGTCAAAGATAGTTTGCTTGTAGGTTTTCTCCCTCTAAACGTTATCTCCTCTCCTTTTCCTCTCTTCTTCACTTCTCCTTCAGTGGAGCAAACCACAACCTTCTGAAGGCAGATGGCCCCTGCACACTTTTTGCCTTTTAAATAGAAGTGACATAGCCCACATCCTGCACACTTCCAAGATAAGGTAAGCAAGGTAAGACTTAAAAGCACTGATATATTTTTAACTTACATCTGCTTTCATGTTAGTATTTTGGTGCTGTTCCAGAGTGAAAAAAAGGAACCACAATAAAGCCTCAGTGTGTGGTATAGTTCTCAAGGCTATTTATATTATGGGTGGACCTAGAAACAGAGATCAGAGCCACACACACATATTTGTCTATCTATGCATAAATCTGGGCAGTTAAAGATTATTAAGATAGATTCATATTGAATTTCCAGGCACCACTTTAGATTCAGTATAGACGAATCTTTTGTGTATGTCTCTGCCAATATGTTATGCTTGTTTGTTTTTAAACACCTCCACAGTAAATCCCTTTCCAGTTCAGAGAAAATAACTTTTATCCAAGAAAAAATAAGCCTACCTAGGATTACTGAAATTCTAACACTGAGAAATCAAGAGCCAACAGCTTGGAAGGGACTATGTTCTGATGCCATCTTCCTGTGCTATGGGTGAAGGGTGAAATAACATCTCTTTTGAGAGCCTCATCCAGCACATTTGTCTTTGCAGAGTGTATTCTTAAACAGAGAAAAGAAGAACTGAAAGGCAGAATGATGAAAAATTCAAGGAGACTATGACCTCTTTGGGGTAAACTAATTTTAAGGAGAGATTTACGAGATGAAACATGCTTAAGTTTTCATCTGGAATATTATGTTAAATTTTGTTACATAATATTGTATTACCTTGGACAGTTTTTTGCAAACTACCGTGTTCTTCTTATTTACCTTTGACTTAAACCTATGTAGCTCTGTAGATTTCTTTGGTGACATTTTACACTGTGTAGATTACGTCAGCACCCAGCATTTGCTTTCTCTGACCTGCTCAGTTATCATATTTCCTCCCTTACGAATCTCTGACTGATGTATTTACAGCAACAGTACTCACAGCACTACATGTGTATTGTTATTGGGTTAATCTGAGGGAGAGGGAGAGTTGACAGCATTGCAAAGTGCAGCACCAAAAAAAAAAAAATAAAGAAAGCTTATAAGACCCTGAAATTAGCTCAGTTGGTTAGAGCCTGGTGCTAATAATGCCAAGGTTGTGGGTTTGGTCCCTGTAGGGGCCATTCACTTAAGAATTGGACTTGATGATCCTTGTGGGTCCCTTCCAACTCAGAATATTCTGTGATTCTGTGAACTTTTGAGGGATTCTTCAGGATAACGGAGCAAAATCTTTCACTTTCAAAATGCAACTGTAGGGAAAGAAGCTGAAAAACAGACAACCCATGGTTCCTTGTGTATCTGCTCTGCCTGACTCTATACCAGCTCTACCAAATGCTAGATTACCTTCCTAACAGACCTGCTTATAAGCTCAGCTGGAAATAGGAAATCCAAACTGCTCTAATGAGAATCAGTAAGAAATTGTGAAGCTGAAACTTCTGCTTTTCCAGTGGAATGTGTCAGTTTGTCACAATTAAAATGTTTCTCAGGAACAGCACAGTTTTAACCATTTTTTTTCAAGCAGATATATTGTCTTGAAAGTAATTTCTGTTGACCAGAAACTCTGGCTCAAGATAGCCGCTGTGAGGGGACCCAGTTTCCCAGTGGCTTCCCATATCCATCTTGGAGAGAACAGGTGTGTTAGACTGCCTATGTATTCAAGTTCTTTACTTACAGTTAACCAGGTAAGAAGATAGGTTTTGGTGCTAGTTGGGGAACCATGTTAGACTGCTTAGGGAAAACTTACATGTAATTTCAGTGTTTGAGCGTTTCTCTCAACCCTTATTTACATTTGTAAATAGGAAAAAAAGAGTGAGATTTAAAATAATTTTATATTAAATATATATTTCAATTGTCTTGTAAAATATTTTGTTTGTGTTTTATTTACTCTAGGACTTAGTAATGACTAATAGGCAACTAGAATTTTACTAGCAAGATGGTAGTTGACATGAAAGTCTATAATTTCTCAGTTTTCCTCCTTCCTCCCAAATTTTTATTATTGTGCTTGATGCTTCAATATTTTCCAGTTAGCCCTGGTGAGACATGAAACAGCAGTGGATGCATCTGCTGTTTGGATATCTGCTGTGTTAACAGTGTTTCTAGTAATTTGGTGGTGATTTTTTTAGGAATTACTTCTTTTTTGAAGATACCACAAGGTATCTTTGACGGATCTAATCCTCAGCTAAATCCTGGTGACCCACCACTTATTTTGCAAACAACTGAGGTATATTTTACTCCTTCCCTATTTTTGTCACTCAAAAATGGTGTCACTAGGTGCTATACTCCAAAGTGAAAGAAATTTCTGATACAATTTTGACTATGAGAGACTTCTTTGGCTGCTTACAGAATTTGTGAGCTTTGTTAAGAGATGGTTTTAGCTGAGAAACACCCTAAAACCAGGGTATTTTTCTGAGTTGGTAAAAGTACTCAAACTCCCAGAGATAATTCTATTGTGCTGTGCCTTGTTGGTGAAGAAAGATAGAATATTCAGAGGCCTGGTGAAAGATAGAATATTCAGAGGCCTGGTCTTGGTGATTCTCTTCTGACATCCTTTTTGCCTAAGCACAGTGCTTTTATTCCTGGACTCTGCTTCTCACAGTCCCCAGCACTTCTGCACATCAGCAATTTTATGAGCACTTCTTCCTTGTTACACTTGATGAGATAAAGGACAAATCCTTCCAAATAGGAAAACTCCATATTTTTCTCATTTAATTTTTTGCTAAGTAAAAGTTTACTGAAATTGATTTTATTCAAATGAAGACACAATAAAAAAAATAAAAAGAGCAAAATACATTGAAGCTTCACATAATTGCATGGTATTTTTCAATGTCACAGGCAAGACTTCAGTTTGGGATCAATGTATTGATTTATTTCTACTGAAGATCTGGCCTGAAAAAAATTAGCATGTATATATGCCTGTCAAGAAGTGGTGATCTTGTAAGAAAATATTCTCTGCTTGTTATCAAGACTGTAACTGTAGTAGATTCTTAATGTTGCACTTAGGAACCCTGTATTTAAAATTTACTTTAATACTTAGGCGCCTTCTGTTCAATAAACCAGCTAGTCAGGGGGAAAAATCTGTTTAACATATTGGTGATATAATCCTTGTAAAGCTAACTTCTGTTAGGCAGAGGCTGCTAAGCACACAACAGGCAATAGAGGAGGGAAAGAGAAAAGTTGGAAAATGTTGCCAAAATGACAGTAAATGTTAATGATCCGATCACAAAAATTGTCCTTCAAACTGGAGTGTGTAGTAAATAGCAATGAATAAATGTACTTGTCAGGAAGATTCGATTTGTCTAGCAAATCCTTACTGACATATACACTCATTTACTACTATATAGCCTTTTGAAAATGCCATTCCAGCAGAGCATAAAAAAGGTTATTTAGATTAAGTGTAGTAACAAGATGAGCAGCATACTGAGTTCATTGGACTACAAACACACTCATTTAATACCCAGTGCTCTATTACTTTGACTGAAGCTCTCCCTGAGAAAAACAATAGGAAAGAAACAGCAAATAAAAACAAGCATAATGATTTAAAAAGAAAAATATGAGCTTCAGTGTAATGCTGTGTACCATCAGTATTTATATTCAGCCTCTGAATGATAGTGCTGGAAAAGGCATAGACATATTAGATGATGAAAAAACCATCTCCACTCCCGCCCCTTCCCCACTTTCTGACAGCAAAATTGTGATAACTGAAAATTCCACTTCATGAGTACCATTTGAAAGTACCTCACATTGAAAGGAAGTCAAATCCAACTTTATGTGGCACTCTTAGGCCTACCTTCTTCGTTCAGAGGAGTTACATGAGATGGCCACATTCTACATTCAGCTGCACTTTGGCTTTCTTGAAAGGAACCTTAGATGGCAAAAAAAGTAGTCACACTTTTGGATTCATTACAGCAATTCTAACATTTTATGATGTACCGTTGGCTTCAGGTTTAATGCCTACCTACCAGCTTGTATTTTTTCTACTCCTTCTTTTAACTTTATTGTCATCTCAAGTCAGTTCAGGTCTTTCTATATACAGTTTCTGCTATTATAGCTTCACATTCTCTTCCTTCAACCCAGCTTTTTGTCAGGAGCAGTTCAAGCATGACTGTCAAGTCAATCATTATTAGGATTGCTTCCTTGAACACGGACAGTGCAGATCTGACACATGAAGAAACAAAGAACATCAAACTAATCCAAATACAGAGGCAAAGGAATGCAGGTTCATGTAGGCACCTGCCTACACACTCACACGTGTGTGTGTGCACACACACACATACATACAGCTATAATATAAACTATCAGTCCTTTCACACTTGTAAGCACTGCAATTGCACATTGTGATAAAAAAATACGTGTAGAATTATCAGATGGCAGCATATAGATAATGTAGGGCTATGCCAGGGGTTTTTGCTGTTTCTCTTTATACTAACGAGTAGTATATAGTGTAAAGATGCTTTATTGTGTTCCTTTCCTGGAAGTCTGATTACAGTCTTCATTTCTCCAGTGTATGTAGAACAGAGAGAGCAAAAAGGGTATTTTACTGAACCATATTAGCTGATAAATAATGCAAGATCATGTTACTCAAGCCCCAGAACAAAATTTCTTCTCCCATCTACAAGATGGGGGGAGAAAGTTTGAAGCTGCTTAGCCTGTGTGGCCCTAAATGTTTTCTGTCCTATTCTGCCCAGTAGAAATAAAAGGTGCTTACTGAGGGGCGTCCTTCCTGCCTAGGCAAACTAAGCATCAGTTTATGCTCAAAGAATTCCCAGAAGAACATACAAGGAATTGCAACTGCATAATCTGCTTGTGGCTAGGAGAAAAGTGTAATTGTTTGAGCAGAATGTGTTGTTCAGTTGACTCATAACTATCTCTTACCTGAACAGTGGAAAACAGAGAACAACTTTCTGCTTTCACCTTCACAAAAAGCAATTACTGAAATTATTTCAGGGGATTAAGGAGGATTCCCTAGAAGTTTGCGTGAGCTCATTATCCCCACTCTCCTTTTTCTTCTGTTTCTTTTCCCTGAAGTTTTTCCATTTTTTTTAACCAGACACACCTTTCTCTTTTTTGTGGAAAAAACAATGCTGGCATGCTTGTGGCAGAGCAGAATAATCAGATCAGTTGAAAGGGCAGGAGGGGTAGAGAGGGACAGGCTCCTTCTTCCTCCAGCTTCCTTTCCACAGATTCTGCTCTGCTGTCATTCTGAGAAAGATATCCAAGTAAATTGGCTTATGCTCCTACGAAGCCTTGAAATGGTACCATGCTGTGGCAATAGGACAATATGCACATAATCTTCAACCTAATTTTAAAGAGCTTAGTGTGTCTGTAGTTTACCTGCTCATGCATCCCCTGTACAACTTATTGAAAACTAGAGTTGTTTCTTTCTATCTGTAGGATTTCTCTCTTTTTTTTTTAACTGACTTTGGAATCAGTTCTATAACAAAAAAGATGAAACTGAATGATATTATGAAGCCTCCAAAATTTGTTAATTGTTTGGGTTTTTTGGTTTGGATTCTTTTTTTTTTTTTTGGAGGGCCTAACAAAAATTTTTCATTGAAACATTCTTTTTATTCAAAAACTCATTTCTATTAAAAAAAAAGGTTTCAAACAAAAGTACTTTGACTAGTTACATTCATAAACAAAGACTCATACAAACCTCTTCTGTCTTGGGCATCTTTAAAAGCTAACCTAGGTACGATCAGATAAAGCATCTCCTGGGTACCTGGGTATGTCTACAGGAGCTGATATATGTCTCCATGCATACCAAAAAACCCACAACGGTGCCTCTGTCTGTTTTCTTTTTTATCTCCTTCTCTATTCCTAGCAGTATGTTTTCCTTGGGTGCTTCACTGTAAAGCTGAATTATGTGCTTATGTG